TCCTATTTTAGAACCCATGACAGGAAAAAAACAACAACCCAGCACACATTTGGATAAAATGCACTAGCATTTCCTCTGGGTACCACGGACAATTGCTGTAGGGAGAACGGGAGGTCACCAGTGAGGTCATATTTAAAAATGCAACGCAGGCATGGTGCTTTCCAGACAAAAGGGTGCCTTTCCTTGTGCTAGTCAATCTCCGCCTGATCTGTGTGTGTAGACGGTGAATACATTCTGCACAGGGCCAGGTGTCCTGTTGTGTTCTGGATCTAGCCAGTACCATTGTTGCCAATGGAGCCAAACATATTCCCGGCCCCAAAAAGGGGGGGGAGCAACACGATGTAATCGTTGAGCACAGGTAGTTTGGTACTGAGCTAGCGTTTATTTTTGAATGCAAGCGTTGCAAGGAAGAGAGCAACTTGGGATATAATCTCCATGCTCTGCCCACAGCCCTGGCCCAGGAAGTGTGGGGCTGCAGTAGTCACAGAGGTCCTGAGAAAATCTGTCCGGGCTTGTGGTTAACACATGAGATTGGGAGTTAGGAGAGCAGGGGGCGGAAGGGGGAAGAGAGTTTATACTTGGTTTCTTATTTCTCATGGGTGTTTGTGTTTGAAGAGGATTTTGTGCTAGGATAGTACTTTAGAGCGAAGGACCTCCGTGCGTTAGGGCTCAGTCGTAAGCAGTATGGAGAGGCTAATCAAACCGGCTGACAAAGGTTAACACTGGTTCACCGTGTAAGTGCGCAAGATTCCCTCCGTCCTGCTTAGGAAAACAAATGGCTTTGCTCTTGGTAATCATGTCCTGGCAAAGGCAAAAAGCCCAAGAATGGACTCCCAAGGGATCCAGTTCCCTGCACTTGACAGCGCTGTCCGTATGGCCCTCCTGAGCTGCTGGAACATCTGTCTGTCTTGCCCTCATCCTGCCTTGGCCCCACACAACCAAGGCATTCAATCGTCAAGCACCATGTGGGTTGTAGCGGGCTAGCAGGGACACCCCTCTCTTATCTGGTGGAGCAGCTATGGCCACTCCCTGTAACCACCCCCCTCAACCTTTTGCTGAGTGGATCCACCCATGTTTATAAAACCAGCAGCCACACCCCTCCTCCGAGCCTGCCCTCCTACGAGCTGCTGCCAAGGGCCCAGCATGGCACTGCTCCGTAAGGCGCAGCAGGGGGGAGGAAAAGGATCCAGCTTCTATGTGTGCTATCTCTTTCCAACCATCCCTGGCTCCTTCAGTTTGCATCTATGCAAAGCAGAAGGAAGTGTGGAAGGAGGTTACCCCCCCCCAGAGACAAAGGCAACATTAACAGCCTTTGCTGCACTGCCGGGTGGCTGCAAATCAACAGCCAGGCTCTGGAGCTTACCCAACTCTTCCAGAATGCGCTTCCAGCGGCTCCTCACTTCCTTGCGGATTTGCCGCAAGGCGTAGATGTCGTAGTTCAGTTTCTGCCACTCCTGCAAGGCAAAAGAGAGGAGGGGAGAGAGACAGAGTCAGCTTTCCTCGTGCTGTACGGCCCATCCCATCTGGCACTTCTACTCCCACTGAGCAACCGCAACATCAGGAACCAAGTTCCAGCCGCAAGGCCCAGCGTAAAATACACACTCACGTTCCACAACACCGGCCCTGCGGCTGTGGGGAAGGTCTGAGTAGGATCAGGGAAAATGAAAGAGGCTGAAACAAGATTTTTTTTTTAAGTCAGCTACACAAAGCAAAAATCCACAAAACACTTCTACTTTTGTTGAGGGACCACAAGAGTGCCATTCCCCCTCCTCCTCGAACCCCCTCCAAATGGACCAGAACATTCCAGTCACCCTCAGTTGGACC